CCCTAGACTTATCATAGTCCGATGATGCATATGTGGCGTTAACAAATTTTCTCAATTACCAGAAGAATTTGAGTGTAATATTCAAGCTCAAATCCCGATGCACTGGGTTTCATTATAGGTTAAGTCATTAAGGGAATTTCACTGTTGATTTAATTAAGGAAGCATGGACTACTCCTCGGTGCGTCCTCATGTCTAGTGTCTTTATCAGTTTGTGAATCAGGATTAAGTGTCAAGTTTCGTTATTTATTCGTTCAAATCTAGAAGCCTTAAGGTGGATGAACGTTCACTTAAGGTGTGCTCCTAAAATCTAGGAAGCATGTACTGAAAAATTAGGTGGATAGACTCTCACCTAGGGTGTGCTCATAAAATCTAGAAGCCTATACCGAAAAATTAGGTGGATAGACTCTCACCTAGGGTGTGCTCCTAAAATCTAGGAAGACCATGCTGAGGATTAGGTGGATTGACTCTCACCTAGGGTGTGCACCTAAAGTCTAGGAAGCCTACATTGAGGGCTAGGTGAATGGACTCTCACCTAGGGTGTGCTCCTAAAACTCAAGGAAGCCTACTCTTTAACTTATGCTTAAGGTGATTTAAAATTTTTTATATCTTCCAATTAATTAAATCATCAATCCTCATCTTTATGACTTAACCACTTAACAAAAGTAACAAAACAAACGAAAAGAGAAGGTTGACCCACTTCCAAAACTAACAAATCAAATGAGGAAATAGCAAGTGTATCAACCTAAAAGCGTTAAAAGTCTTTCAGCAACTGTAATTAAATTAAATAGACTCTTGAGAAGAGTGTTTAAATCTGTTCCAAAACAGTGTTTTGATCGGCCCGAATATTCCACAATTCAGAGTAAAAAAAAATAAAGCTCAAAAAGCCACCAAATAAATTAACAAATTGCAGCCCAAAAGCCACGAAATGGAACCAAAAAGTAACCCACAATGACACTTTCAAACAGCTCCAAACAATGGGCAATCAGTCTAAAATCGTCACCCAAAATGACTCCCAAAAACAGTGAAAGATCGAGCAGGGGGGCAACCCCCAAAACAGTGATTAAAACATCACCCAAGTGATGAGTTTAATACCCCCAAAATAGTAGGTAGACCAACCCCTAAGAAATTATGTTTAAACCATCCACAAACAATGTATAGTAAGCAGCGGAAGAATTCCTTTGTCACACATGCAAGTATTTAAGTTCCAAATTTGGGACATGTAAACTCATAAGAACTGGACGTTATATATGTATGCAAGTGGAAACCTTGTGTTAAGCAAGTAAATGCATCAGAATCTTGTGACATGTAAGAACTGAAGAGGATAAATATGATAACTCTAGCAAATTGATAATGGAAACCAATAATGTCAACCACATCAAAGAAGACTCTTGTCATCACCTTTACTATCACAGGTTAAATGCATTCATGCTCACTTCCAGTTGCCAAACAAGAGTTGAAGTATGAATTCATCAAAATAACATGTTCACAGTTATTGAATCATCTTAAACAGTAAACTGATAAAAAATGAAATGATAGAAGCTATGATGCATGAGAAAAAATATCTGTACACCAACAACACAATTGTAAAAAAAAAAAGCCTAAACAGAGCAGTTCATAACTTAGACATTATCTAGACAATATGACATAATCAAATTGAACTAGGCTTCGTCCAATGCAAGACACAGTTAGTTTTGGAGAAATAATAACAAATAATTTAAGGTGTGGAGGCATAATTCTCTCTAACTATGCAATTTGTTTTCAAAAGACAACATTAAAATTAGAATATTATTTAACACAACTAAAATATGACACAATTAAAATTACCTCCAATGTCAGACCAACCCACATGAAGTATGCAGAGAAGTAATTGATATAACAAAAGTTTAAGAACAGTAATAGTAGCATGCAATAAGCTCAGAAAGTTTCAATTGTTAGAACCAAATACTTCGATAAAAGGTTTGTGGTGAACTAAAAGGAATAATCAAAGTAGAAGGTAAGATCAAGGAGTTCAAACCTGCACGTCAAAGTGTGGCAGACGATCGACACAGAGAGATTCGAAAGAGAACGAAAGTGTTCTGTCGAGAGCAGGGGGAGGCGAATCAGATGTATATGAGAAGGCTAAGCGGCTTCGTGCAGAGGAGGGCCAGCGACTTCGGTGCGGACGAGAGGCGAACGGGGCTTCGATCAAGACAGGAGAGGGCGAGCGGGCAGGAAGCCGACGAGGGTGAACGGGAGAGAGGAGCTGTCAAGTGCAAGTGGGATCTCTCGAGAGCAGGATTGCGAGCGAAGAAGCAGGCGCGAGGAGGAGGGCCAGCCGGAGAGAGGAGCTATCGAGCGTAGAGGGAGAGCGGGATCGAGCGATTTCGGTGCGGGAGAAGGAACGGTGAGCGAGATTTATCGTCAGCAAGAGAGAGGCGAGCTAAGCTTCGGTACAAGGAGTATGCGAACTTCGGTGCAGGGAATAGGCGAGCGACTTTGATGCGGGAGAACGGGAGAACGGGAGAGATGAAGTTGGCGGATGGGTTCGATGCAGAAGAGGGGTTCAGTGAGGGGAAGAGGAGACGAGGCAGGCGAGTCTCGAGCGGGGGTCATCGGTGCGAGAAGGAGGAGATCGCGCGAGGGGGAGGCGAGGCAGGTGAAGGTCTTGGTGTAGAGAGAGAGCTCGGAATCTCGTTCTGAGGAAGGGGGAGGCTAAATGCTTTCAGTGAGATCTTGTATTTGGGGAATTGCAAAGGAAGGTTACGGGATATTGGCGCGGAATTAATGAATTTCCAATGGGGGAGGAGTCGGCATATAAGAGCTCCTAATTAAATTTCATTAAGGCTGATTAAATAATTCATTTGAAATTTGAAATTTGAAATCTGAAATCGTTTAGCCTGAGTCCAGCCTGAATCGAACCTGTCGAACCCGGGTTGAGCCCGGGCCCACGTACCGCTAATAAAAAAGTGCATTGATATCCCTGCTAGTCGCTCGCGCGCGAAATCAAAATGATATGGGTGTCTTTCCTAGCCAAAGTTGACGTTTTAGATACGTTGGTGCAGTCTGTTTCGTCATTCGTCGGGGTCATCCGGACAAACTCACCGGTGGGCAAGTCAAATCAAGTCAAAGTCGTGTGTGGTGCAGAGAGTGCGTGAATTACGGCGTTCGCGAGTATTCGAGTCACAAATGGGTTCACCTAAGGCTGTTTAATCCTATAGGAACTCATTTTCAGGTCCTCTACATGTTGGTCCCTAGCCCTTGCAACTACGAGTAGAGTGTTTGGCACCACTCATGCGAGTTCTTCACAAAAAAATGAGTCAAGAAGTGGATCGAAGTTCTACGGGAGGTGGGCTCCATTACTAGTCCGCTAGGATGGTCAACAAGGAACTCCTAAGGCTAGATTATGGGTTCTAGGAGTAGGAGACTAAGACCTTACTAAAAATGAGGTCAACAATAAGTTCTCACAAAGTGATGAAGAAGCATGGGATGAAGAAATAGAGGAGGTTGTGGTGGTAGAGAAACACACTCACTTAGATGTGGAACACCCACACTTGGATGTGGCGGAAGTTTCACTGAACTCGATGGTGGGGTTAACATCAAATCACACTATAAAATTTTCGGGACAGATCAGAGAGCAGAACTTAGTGGTGTTGGTAGATAGTGGGGCCGCCCACAACTTCATCTTAACTCAAGTAGTGAAACCATTGGGGCTTCAGATAGTTGGCACAAAAAAAATTAGATTCATGATGATGACGAGATAGGAGAAGAAGAGCAGAGAACTTCGAAAAGGGCTGATTTTTACAGTGCATGTTATTTAGGTGTTGGAGGATTTTCTCCCCTTGGTTTAAGGGAGGAGCACTGGAGTAATATTGGGTATGAAATGATTGCAGTCCTTAGGGGAGACTAAGATAAATTGAAAACTCCTGACAAAGGAGTTCCATGTGGGAAGAGGTAGGTTCTTTGCCGTGACCCTAATTTGTGCAAGACCTTGGTGACACTCAAGACAATCGTTTGGGCAATAAAGGATGCAGGGTTGGAATTCTTGATCAAATTGCATAGCATGGAAGATGCACATGATGCAAAGTTGGCAGATATTTCAACACTGATCCAACAGCTCCTACAATAATTTGTAGATGTTTTATTGTTGTCATGCAAATTACCACCTCAGAGAGAACATGACCATACAATAACCAAGAGACTGGGGGTGTCTCCAATCAGTATGCGCCTATACCCCTACCGACAGGGTTTCAAATCAACACTAATAGAGCTAGTTGAGTCTTCTGATAGAAGAGAAGGTGATCAAATTAAGGAGATGGAACATAAGCTTCATGAAGACTTAAAAGACCCATTGACAACACTTTATAACGATCCAAAACCATCCTTGTTGTTCTCAGAGGAAATGATAGAAGTGTCTTAGATGATAATTTTGGTGAATACAATATGTGGTTAGCAACAGAAAATGAGATATTTTTGCACCTTAATTATGGAGAGTGGACGACTACAATGCCAGAACATCATAACATGGATTTGGTTTACAGTGTGAAGCATGTTTTTGAGTATGTTACAGAAAGAACTCATAGGTTTCACTTTGAACATCAGGAGACCTCACTTGTATGAAATGAATTTGGAAGAATTGAAGCAAGTTGATAGGTTCAATATCTAATGCAGTTATTGATGTTGTCCAGGGTAGTCAATCAGTTGAGGTTTGTTCAATAGGAGTTCGTAAGGGTGCTGCAATTGATCGAATCTTGGGAGGAATTGTGCACAACAAGAATGGTTACACCAATATAATATGTTTTATGCATCAGGCACTTCCTGGGAAAGGATGAGAATACGGGTTCGATGCAGTACTTCTCAAACTCTACAGCACAGTAAAATGCATCATCTATTGAAATTGGTGAATGTAACTCAACTCAAAATTAATATATTGTAAATTATTCTTATAAAGCGCTCTGCCATCACCAACATCTCTATATGCCTAACCACAATCTAGAATTAACAGCCATGAATATAAAGCTTACCAGTGACCAGTGTAAAAGAACAAACAACCTGCTAGGAGGCTCCACTGTAAAACTGGCGTAGGATCAGCAATGAATCCTGTAGCAGTAGCACTTTCATCATCTACTTCTGCGGCCCTCTTCAACCTTGTTATACACCAAGCTGCCATATGACAACACTACTCAGCAAACAGAATGGAAAACATTTTAAACATAAAACAACATGGAAAGGAAAGTACTCATTTAAAGACCTTTCATAAAATGGTATACTGGAGAGCAAAAAATTTGCAGCCCCTAACTTTCCACTTTCACTTGACCTTATCATGAATTTAGAAAGCTAAATTTACATACAAAGCACACAATTCTAATGCATTTAAATATATCATTCCTAAACTTTCATATCTACACACATAGTACTCAAAAATAGCACTTTTACCACTTTTTAAATGTGAAATACACATCTTCATGCATAGGTTTAAAGCAACAAAGTGCCATGTATGTAAATATGAAAGTTTAGGCGTGAGATATCTAAATACATTAAAATTGTGTGATATGTATATGAATGTCCCTGAAGAAATAATTTCATACCTCCAAGTATGAAGATTAAAGCAACATAAGGACCTTGCCTTCCTAACAAAACTAAAATAGTTGAGCTCCAAGCAGAAAGCATGCCGGTGGCTACAATTGCTAATGCCTCGGTTGGATTTGAAGCCAAAATCATATCTTTCTTATTTCCAGTCAGTGAAAATGCTAATATTACAAAAAGAAGAAGTCCAATGGAATAAATGATGCGGGGTGCAAATATTTTCGCAAAATTCACAAGCTCTGCAGAAGCAGCAATCATGTTGCTTTCCAGGATCCAATGCACTGACATGAGCATGCAGCTTAGAATATTTCCCATGGTAAAAAAAAGTTTTAATATTTTCGAAGTAGATTTTCGAAAAGTAATAATATACAGAAAGATCACCAATATCCACAAAACAACAATTGGTAAGAGTTCCAGCAGACTGATCAATAATGACCACCCCTTCTCGATCCCATTGCTGGCAAAAGAACGAACAATTGAAAAACTAGAACCAAGAGTTTCCTTAGACATTCCTGACTCTATGCCGAATCTGATCAAGATGTTCAGAACTAGAAACAAGTAGTTCTGTAAAGCAAAACCAGAGTTAGAAGTCACAAATATTTGGCAAATAATTTAAAAAGTCAACAAAAAAAAAAAAACTGCATTTTTAAAACCTTCCGAAGTTGAGGCGCCAAAACTTACTTCTGCGGCAACTTCACCAGTATCAAATGATAACCATAGGTTAAGAATGCCACTTGTACCTAAGAGAAAACTAGCCACACGGCCTTCTGCCACTGATAATCACAAAAGTAGCATTCAAGAAAAAGTTGCCGACAAAAGTGTGTTCAAAGAGCTGATGACAGCATATAGGAGCAAAAATACAAAATAGTCCCCTCGATTTCCAACAAATGACCAATTTAGTCTTTAAGTTTTAAAGTGCTTCGTATTAGTCCCAGACTATTGCAAATTGATCCAAATTAATCCCTAGGTTTATTTTTATAATCAAAGTTACCGCCAACAATTAAAGAATTTTAATCGAAATTTTATTTTTATTGGTACTCTGTTTTCACTTGTAATAAATTATTAAAATTTATTTAAGTTAATTTTCCATTAATTTAATTGATTATGAACTAATAACTAATTAGTATGTTATCATATTAATTATAATTAGATAAATGTAAATGTCACTATTTAATAAATAATTGATAAATTACATATTAAAATGTAATTAATTTAATAAATCTATAATAATTATTAATTATTTTAACAAATATTAATCAATTATTATTTAATAAAGATTAAATTATTGTTTAATATAATTAGTTCAATAAATATTAATTAACTTTCAGCATAATTATAGATAAAAAAATAAATTAAAATCAGTCCGGCTTAATAATTATATCACTAATATTCAATATTAAACTCATACTTCAACTAAAAGATTTATCATCATTCATAAATTTAAAGAATTTAGTACATATGGAATAAGAGTAATAATAAAAATAAATTTCATTTAAAATTCTTATTCCTAAAATACTCTTAAAATTAAGGGTTGGTTTTAACTTTAGCAATAAAATTTAGCATATGCCTTAATTTGGATCAATTTGTAATAGTCTGGGCCAAATGTGAAGCATTTTAAAAATTCGAGACTAAATTAGTCACTTGTTGATAGTCGAGGGACTATTTTGGGCTTTTGCTCCTGTAGATACTGAAGGGAACCAACTTACATATATAACTGTTAGAAAGGAAACTGACCGCACGTATTGCCACAAAAGCTATAACAGTTATTAACGTGAAAGAGACGGTAGAACTGCCTGGAAATGGATAATATGATTTGGATATGGCATTGACCCTTCCGATGAAAAAAAGATGAATAAAAATGGATGTTAGCATCATGGAAAGACCAAAACCCATCAGCGTCAAATTGAATTCAGTCCATGCAGAGCGTGCAAGCTCTGCAACAGCTTCCAAAAATCTCGAATATGCATCAATTTGTCTTTGAAGAACGGATGCAGCACCATCCTTTATGCTGATATGGGTTCCATTTTCAAAGGAGAATGCCAACTTCATAATATCTAACCAGCTCCCTTGAGCTTGACTATATAAAGAATTTATATAACGCAGATCTTCTGCAGGAAGTCCAATGACAGATGTTATGGAATATAAATCTATATATCTTTTCACCTGCTCAAAAAAAATGACTTTTTAGCATACCAACGAACAAAATACATTCATGTGGTAGCTTATAATATTCTCAACAAGGATTCTCACCAATGAAGATAGAGCAAACAATACCATCATAATATTACAAAAGAGGATAGAGATAACAAAAGAAGGGAAACTACTCTTTTAGAGCATGACCATAAACAATATAATATAGCTGGGATTGTGAAAATTGGGAGAAAGTAAACAAAGTTGTTCCACATGAAGATAAGTTAAAGTTATTGCTTAGCCAGGCCCTCCTTAAGAAAATTAAAACCAATATAAAAATATAAAACTCCCAAACAAGTTAAAAGGAAAATAATAAATCTCCTATAAAGTTATATTGTTTGTTGTTGTCGGTCAACTTTTTGATTTCGAAAAGTATTTTTATAGTTTTGAAAAATAGATGATTTAATTTAACCTAAAAGGTATATAATTTTATAAAAATAGTGTATTTTAATTTTGAAAAAAATGAGACCGGCTGGATCTCATTTGCCCAATAATTTGTATAATCGTGTCCGGTACCACAAATGATACACCTTCTCGAAAGATAAGCGTACCCCGCGACGGTGAACCCAATCGTACAATCTACGAGATTTGTGACATTCATTTGGTCTGCGAACATTTTATATGTAACCGACAAATTCCCCTATTAAATACAAAGATTAAATAGGGTTTATTTTAAATGGGTTTCAAGTTCCCTATAGAGGCAAACCCCTATAGTTAATTACATCCCAAGTGACGGGAGTCACTTGAAAAAACTCTCGATAATGATCAGTGGTTCTAGTCTTCAAGAATTCAAGGTTCAGATTTTCAAGGTAGGACGTGAAAAAACAAGTGAGAGTGGCTCAAGTGAGAACAATCCTTTCAGGAGTCCAAAGGAGGTAAAAAGTAAGGGATGTCACAGATTCTGAGGGGAATCCTCAATGACCTCCCAAACTATCATACTGTGTGGCTGTGTTTTAGAGAGGATTTTATTTGAATGTTAAATCCCGTCAATTTTATTAGTTGGGACTTACACTTGCATAATAACTGATTATGTAAATAGCCCGCACAGATAAGAGGTTTTACGTCATTCTAGATGACAACCTCGTAACCTAAGGCGAGTTAGGACTTACGTTGCATAACATGGTTGTGCAGAGGGCCTAAAAGAGGGTGAGATTTTACATCGCTCTAAGCGAGCTACCTCAAAATCCTATAGGTTCTTTAAACTAGGAAAGTTTAGTTGGTGTAGACTCATTTTGCTGTTGAAGAAGGGCAAACACCTTCACCTGTAGTTCGCTCCAAACTCCTTGTCGTGCTGCCGACGAAGTTGCTCCGAGTTCTTCGTCGCAGTAACAATCCTAAAGTCTAAAGCTCAAACAGTTTTATCATGTGTGTTTCAATGTCTCAGTGTCTCAGTTTGGTTGTCATGTTGTCATTAGGGGGGTTCAAGTTGATTAGAGCGACACCGGTTAGGATCTCACGGTTCCCTCGTTCCGGTATCAATATTTTCTTTTAAACTTACTTAGTTTAAACGAGTTGTGAAACACATTTAAACTGGAGAGATCTCGTTAGCAACCGTGGGTTACCTCCTCCGAGGGACTCCCGTAGGTTCGAAAAAAACGTGTTATGTTTTGGTTTTTTTTTGTTTTGAAAATGTTGTTTAATTTGAAAAATCGTTTTTTTTTGAAAGGGAGATTGTATTTAGAAGTGAGATTGTATTTTGAAAGTGAGATTGTATTTAGTACCTGCATAATGTGTTAAAGCAAGAGTAATTGCAATAAAGAAACAACAAATAAAATGTACTTGCGTACGTGGTGTATACGTTGCTGCTATTTTTGTTGCATGTTTAAATCACAAAACACAATATAATTTGCAGGGAATTTAAATAAAATGCAGAGAAAAGAAGAAAACAGTAAATAATTGAACAAGTTGTAGCAATGACAGAACTCCAAACAAGTGATCCTAAAGTTTCATACAACTTCTTACTGCAACTGGCGAGCTAGTACGGTGATCATACGACCTCCTACGGCTCCGGGAAGCAACTAGCAAGTGTGTACGGTGATCCTACGACTCCGGACAACAGCTAGGAATTTCGAATAATACCTGTATGGGTTCCTATGAACCCAAACAGCAATGGGCAGGACCTATGCGGCTTCCTACGAATCTGAACAGAGGTGGGCCCGGAGGTGGGCGGCAACTAGATGCCTTCCAAACGATGGTGGACAGCTACTAGGTGGCTTCTTACGGACCCAAACGGTGGTGGATAGCTATTAGGTGACTTCCTGCGACACTGGGTAGCAAATAGAAGCATTGGACAACAGTTCTACAACTTCCTACGGCACTAGGCAGCGACTAAAAACATTGGACAGCACTCTATAGCATTCCTACGACACTGGGCAGCTACTAGAAGTATTGGACAGCGGTCCTACAGCTTCTCGCAGCAAAGAACAACACTTTTACAGTGACTAACGACAGCTATTAATCACCGAACAACACTTTCAAGCCCCCCCAAGCAGTTTTCAAACAACTCAGCGCTACCTACATTTCTTCCAAAACAACATGTAAACCAACCCCAAGAAGATGCATTTAAACATTCCCCAAACAATGTGTAGTATGCAACGAAAGAATTCATTATTCGCAGATGCACGTATTCGAGTTTTAAGTGTAGAGCGTGTGTGTAAAAAAAAAATTAAAGTTTAGGTGTTAGCATATATGTCCTACTTCATGTTGTTTGAACTGAGATATATATATATATATATGCTGATAAAAAACATGAATAAATTCGTAAGTTACAGCCAGTTAATTACGACAATAAAATATCAGAGAAAATATATGGCCGAAGCAAAGCACATGCATCAGAATTGGAACAAAAACAAGTTTCTGTAATTTGGTAAGCAGAGAAATTTAATTGCATACCGTGAAGTCCAAGAAGAGGAAGATTCAGAAAAGCTGCTCGTGTCGCAGGAGAAAGGAGGAAGAAGCCTACCTTTGCGAATGGGAGGAAGCTAGCAATTAGCTGGATAAAAAAATGTGGGTTGGCCAGCTACCGGTGGAAGATGTCGTCGAGGAAGATCGTGTGTTGAGAGGTAGAGAACTCGCAAGGATTTCAGATGCAGAGATGCGAGCGGGATCTGCCGCGAGTGTCGCGAGGGAGTGACGCGCGATTGGGGCAGATAGTCGAGCGGGGAAGAGTCTCGAGCGGGCGAGCAGAAGGATGAGGGGTTTCTGTCGCAGAGAAGGGGTTCTATGAAGAGGAGAGCAAGAGCTTTGGCTTGGGGTGCGATCGAATCGCAGAAGAGGAGCGAGCGAGCGGAGGAGGGCGTTCGGTCTTCTGGTCGTGAGGGAGAGGCGCGACAGGAGCGGGGGAGACGAACATGATTGTTCGGTCGAGCGAGGAAAAGACGAGCAGGTGAGGGGGCTCGGTGCGGAGGAAGGAGGGAGTTTGGTCGAGCGAAGAAAAGCGAGGAAAAGACGAGCGGGTGAGGGGCTCGGTGCGGAGGAAGATGAACAGGAGTTTCGGAGAGGTAGAGGAGGGAGGTCGATTGAGCACGAGTCTCCGTCGCAAAGAGGAGAAGCGAACGGGAGCTTCGATCTGGAGTTGCGATCGAGTAACAAAGGAGAAGCGAGATCGAAAGGAGCAGGTGTCGAGCAGGGTCAAGCGGCTCTTCTGTCGCGCGCGAGAGGGAGGAGCAGGCAAGCGGGGTCGAACGGTTGCTCTGTCGCGGACGAGAAGGAGGAGCAGGCGAGCGGGGTCCAGCGGAGCAAGTGTCGAACGAGGTTTCTGTCGAGCGGGGTAAGTCTTCAGTTGAGTGCGAGCAGGGAGGCGAGGGTCTCTGTCGAGCGAGATCGAGCAGAAGTAGGAGCAGGCGTTCGGGAAAGGCAGAGGAGGAATATTAGCAGAGGAAGAAGACCATCCTTTAAAATTGGAGCGGGAGCAGTTACTCTGTAAGCCATTGGTGGGGAAATAAATGATTTCCAAATGTTCATTAAATGAAAAACATTAAGAGCTGAATTAATTTTAATTAAGATAGAATTTAAATAATCCATTTGAATTTTGAAATTTTAATTTCAAATTCAGGTGAGCGGGTGCCTAGCCCGTGTTCAGCCTGAGTCCAGCCTGAATCGAACCCGAGTCGAACATGAGCTGAGCCCGGGCCCGCGCACTGTTAAAAAAATGTATCGATATCCGTGCTAGACGCTCGTGCGCGAAACTATAACGATATGAGTGTCCTTCCTAGCTAAAGTCGACGTTCCGGATATGTCGGCGTGGTCCGTTTCGTCATCCGGGGTCGTACGGACGAATCATTCGGACGAGTTTGCCAACGGGCGAGTCAATTTAAGCCAAAATTGTGCGGGGTGCGATGCGTGCGCAAAAAATGCAGCGTCATCGAGCGTTCGGGGCGCCATTCTAGGGGCTGCTCCTATTAATGTAGGAACTCAACTCGAGCTTTATGTGTCGATCCTAATCAACTCAATGGAATGCCGAAGATTTGGGACCGCCCATGCGAAACTCGGAGTGACGAGATGACCTGAATTTTCTAAATGGTGTGGGTTCCGTACTAGTCCTCTAAGAGAGTAGAACAGGGGAAGCCTAAAGCTAGACCCTAGGCTCTAAGGAGAGACAAAAAAAGACCTCATCCAGAAATGAGATCAACAATTGCTTACAAAGAATAGCATGCATCCGGCTTAGGTCGCTCACCATTTTCTTTAATCATTTCATTAGGGCCGCAGCACCTAATGTGAATAAAATGAGAAGGCAGACACATTTTACTTGAAATGTACTTGGCAGTAGATTTCATAAATGCAATAGCCTCGCATAAATAAGAACTTATCTGTAGATTTCACAGATGCAACAACCTCGAATAAATTCTCCTTTTTATTGTGGAGCCATTTGGCAAATTGAAAAAGGGATGCCAAGTAAAAAGAGTATAGTGCTTTTTTAAATATAGCATATTTGAAATGTGTGAGTTGCGTGGTAGGGAGTAAAGCAAATGTAA